AATAGCCATTTGCACATTTGCAGCGTGTAATGTATGTCGGTTTTGTAATGGATGTTTCTCAGCTGACAGTTAACACTGGTGTATGATCGATCATGCATACTTACAGTTCCAGGGCACATCGTCGACTGATCGGCAGGAGAGAAACTGTCGACACGACATTGTCAGAACGCAAGCGCGTGTCGTTTCGCTTCTGTGAATGTGTCCGACGAGCTTCAACCACCTGTGTGCGTACATGAATGAGAGAAGTATAAACGAAGGGGAAACTTTCATCGATAATATGTTAGCATCCAACTTTTTTTTTTGTCTTTTAGAGGTTCTACATTCGTTGCAGAAGAGATCGAATGAAGTTATAGTACAAAGAAATCATTTCAAGTTCATACCAAGTATCCTTAAATTTTCTAATAACAATTACAATACCTTTTTTGTGGAACTTTGTACGTCTAAAAACATGATATTATATTTTCCAAGTCAGTAAGTCCCCTGTAAAATTCTTGTCGTGATTTATAAAAATGAAAGAATTTGTGCTTTTGGAATTGTGAAATCAAGATTTTATCTCCAGTGAACTATAGGAAAAAGAGAAATGACATGAGGTCCTATGAAGTTTAGTTCAGTTACTAATCTAGTCTTTATTATCATAAGATTTAGTCTTCAAATATACGTAAATTTGTATTCTGTATATTTTATAATCTACAAATTAGTGTAGATTATACTACAAGTATAAACGTCGGATACAATCCAGGAAATGAAATAAACGTAGATTTCGGTTGAAGAACGAGATATCTGTAAAACAATTTTTCTCAGTGATAAAACAGTTGTAGTGATTATAGCAATTATATGGAAATATCAAAAAAAATGTATGCTTAATTACCAGTCTGTAAGTGTTTGAAGTAAATTTAAATAAACCAGCGACGTTTTCGTTACCTGAAAATAGTTAAATACAGAGCTTTAATTTAATTACTATGCTAAATTACTACAACTATGCTAATTACTACAACTGCTAACTACTATAAAACTGTAAACTCACAGAGCTAAAAGTGTCGAGAGATAATTCGATTATTTTTCCAGCTGTCAGCTTTGGTGGAGACTGAGATACGGAGATCAATGGAATAAGATCGTAAGCGTCCTTAGCTGGCAAGTTATACCAACCGATCTTGTAGGAATTTTCACCGACTTGTCTACACTAATTACGATCGTTAAGAGTAATTGATAAAATGGAGATTTTTGAAACATGCGAAATTCTTTTGCAACTACCTGTTCAGAGAGAAGTTCGCCTACGTAGCAGAATATAAATATATTAAATGTAAAGGAGATCAACAAAGTAGCACAAGTTATTATCGTGAATATGTCGTTGTTTCGCAATGCCTGAAATATTTCACGAATAACAGGTTCCCCTAATTTTGAATTAATTTGGATCAACGCTGATAGATGTTAATTCAATTTC